AGGGCCCCTCTTCCCATTCCCCAACCAGTGGACAAAGCTGCTTCTTTAAGAAGCCATTAGCACCTTTTTCCTGAGATGCAGAATGTAAACAGACAATCAACCTGCTATGCTTTACTTGCACACAATAATAATCTAAGAGAAAGGAAGGGAATTTCCTTGGAAAGCTGCTAGTAAAGGCAAAGGAAAAAGCACATCCATAAAAACACATCAAAAGGTGTTCCAAAAGTTTGAGCCCTGTCATTCCTTGCACACCCTCCTCTTCATGTGGATTTTCTCTGCCCTGTGCAACGGTCAAGGGTGCAACTCCTTCACCCAGGGGGAGCTCAGAGCTCATGTCTTATTAGCAGCTGAAGGTGCGGGAAGGAGACTGATAAGCCCACTGGTGCTTCCCAAGTCTGGGGAGGCACCAGCAGGGCGCAACCAGGGGGCAGGGTGTCCCCCAGCAGCCAGCTGGCAATGGGGGGGGGGGGGGGGGGGTTTAATGGGGGACACTCTCTGTGCCCCCCTACCAGCTGGAGCGCTAGGTGTCATGGGGGGGCAAGTGCCCCTGTTACGCGTCGTCTATGTTGCCAGGAGCTGTCCAGCTCTCCTTGCTGACAAGTGCTGGCAAAGCAAGTTCCCCAAACAGTTTTTTCCCCTCTGGCTAATTTGCCTATGAAGGTGAACCAGGTTTCATGACATGACAGTTTCCATCAAGCAACAATATCTGTTGCTTGATGGAACAGTTCCTGTTCCCCAGAGCACTACCAGGAGTAACTAGGAATAACGGCCATAAGTTGACTGAGAGTAAATTCAGGCTAGACATCAGGAGGCACTACTTCACAGTCAGGGTGGCTAGGAGCTGGAACCAACTTCCAAGGGAAGTGGTGCTTGCTCCTACCCTGGCGGTCTTTAAAAGAAGGCTAGGTAATCACCCAGCTGGGGTCATTTGACCCCAGCATCCTTTTCTACCCATGGCAGGGGGTTGGACTTGATGATCTGCTCAGGTCCCTTCTGACCCTGCTAACTACGAAACTATGTTGCTTGATGGAATAACATCTGCTAGGAGCCTTAGCCTAATCTCTACTTCCCAGAGCACAACCAATACAACCATACTGGATCTCCTCCACAAGGGCAGAAACGGAAGTGAATGCTGGTAGGGATTTGCCTCAGAAGGTCACAAAACTCCGTATGTTCCTAAATCACCTTTTCTATGGGATAGCCCACAACTGCTTCATCATCCACTGCCAGTATCTGATCCCCAACTTTAATCCGTCCATCCTGGAAATAAAATTAACAGAAAATATCAATATGGAAATATTTTCCATTCTTTTTCCTGAATTGATTGGCATTTAATTCACTCACCTTTGCTGCTGTCCCATGGTCAGTTAAGCTCTTAATAACTACTCCATTAATTGTGTCTTCTTCACTGATGGCAATACCAATTCCCCCCTGATCCTATGGGAAATAATAACCATCATCCATTAGGTGCTGCATTTAGCAAAGTGTAAGTATATGTATTTATGAGAATATAGTGATGTTTGTAAACAGCATGGAAGTTTGGGCTTTCCTTACACATCTAAAACTATAAAAATTCATTTGCAAATGATCCACCTCCTCCAATCCTTAAACATGCTAGAGAACCAAAATAGCTGTAAAATACTTCTAACTTAAAAGTTAAAAAAGACTATTGTATACTATAGAAAAAATAGGGAATGGGAAATGTAGGGGATAAAGAAAAATATATCCCCTCCCTGACTAAATTACTTAAGATTTGCAGTGGCATGAATTTTCCCTGACTATTTTACCTAGAAATATCTAAGTAAATCATATGGACACTGTTACTTGTAGTATCTACTCCCAGTTAGAAAGACAAGGCCAGTTGCCAATGATGCATCTGACTAACCTTAAAATCTCAGCTCTTTAATCTCCTGCATACAGCTTTCTTCCATGTGTTATTACAAAACAGGAGACATTTTTCTTTCCCTCCTTTGCCATGTTCATGATCAGAGAACACATAGCCATTTTAATTTATATGTATGATTTTTTTGTTAACAGTATATATTTTGCTTCCCAGGACTTGATACTTACAGTATGCTAATTAATTTATTTGGAAATGATTTCATCACAGACAAGAATTAACCAATTTCAAGAACATAGTCATTTGTAGCAGTATAAGAACTGGTTCTCTCAAAATATGAACCCTCTTTGATCAATGCTTTGAAACTAAACAGTTTTGCTGGGTCAAACAAGTTCACTAAAGAAAAGAGATAGCATAGCCCCTACTGAGCCTGTACCCATGAGGTCATACCATGTACAGCCAAGTCCTACACCTGTCCCCTAATTCCCTCACCTGCCTTTTCTTAACTGCAAAGTCCCAGTAACCTCTGTGCCAATTCCTAACAACTATTTACTGAAATTCTGCACCTTGGGCAAGGAGTGTATTCTTTCTGAAACATTTACAACCTGCCTAAACAGGAGAAATGCCTAGCTGAGAGACTGAAGTTTTGCTGATCCCGGGGTGATTTTGGTCCTACCTGCAAACAGGAGGAGAATGCTAGAAGTTCAGATCCCTACTTCCAAGGAAAGGAAAACAGTTTCTCTGCCCACAAAGGGAAACAGCTTCATAAGTTACACTTGGTGAGATTAAGGTGCCCATCAACCTACATCAATATCAGTTTTCTGAAAATTTTAAATTACCTTAGGAAGTTCGACATGCTGAACATTTTTATATGAACTCAAATCTACTGCTGTAACAAGATTTGTAGGACTTGATTCTTTCTGGAAAAGAGAGTATAGCAATGCAAAAAAGTCTTTTTATAAAGCATTTAATTCATCCTTAAAACATTAAAGAAGACTATTCTTCAACAGAGGGTCTGATTTTCCAAACAGACCACTTTATACTGGTGTAACTCCTCATAATCAGGAACATAAGATGTTTCACAGCTGCACTCAAATCCCATTCAGTTTTCCTTGTGGACATTTTCTATCTTTAAAGCATAACAAATACTAGGGTATTTTTCTATCCAGAAAACTGTTTATCATCTTAATGAAATAAATTAACCAGATATTTGTTCTTACCTCTTGACTCTGAAGAGCCCCTGAAGTGGAAGGTGAAGATTCTATTGATTTCCCAGGGCAAACAGCCATTTGATTCACTGCATCTTTATTTCTGTCATATATTAAATTAAAGCGTATGTTACAGCATCACCACCTTTCTTACTAAAAGGTTAATAAGATGCCTTCATTTTTTATTTTATGTTTATTTTTCTGTTGTTGGAAGTCACAACACAGCTATAATAAGAGAAAGCTTGTAATACATGTTGTTTTCAAAGAATGTTACTGCCATAGCAGCATATACACAAAAAACATAGGTAAAATTTTCACATGGTCTAATAAAAATTTAAAAAATAAAAATTTGCTTGTACCAAAACTGAAAAAAGCATTTATAAGTAACTTTAAACAGTATTTACCTGATAAATATGATTTTTACTGTTGATGGTGCGCATTTGATTATAGATGAGGCATTCTGATGAGTTCTTCCATAGAGAATTTGTCCATTTATCTATGTGAGTAGGAATGACAAATGTGTTTGAGAATTTAATTTTTTTTACATTTTAGCTTAATTATGCAAAATCCCTCTGTGCCTGACTTTACCATTTTAAAATTTTAGTCTCCAATGTATCAGGGCCTGCTTTAACCTTCTATTGGGTGTTCTTCCCTAACTGTTAGTGTGATTTCAGACTTTCATGTACTAAAGATGTCCTTTACTACATTACACTGCCTAGGAGGCGCATCTTTTTTTTTATTCCTCATTGATTATAGCTTGATTCACTAGTGGTGGAATAAAACAAAACTTGTGTGTCAACCTGCCAACAAGAAATAAACCATCCATATCAAGCAAGAAAATTAGTATTAGTTACTGTATCTCAACATTGTTAACCACTTTACAACAGTCTTCATGTCAAGGCACTTACAGTACAAGGACCCGACCTTGAAACCATTTATGCCTGTGGGTGACTTGACTTGAGTAGTTCCACTGAAGCCCAAAGGAATTCTAAATGTGATCAAAGTAAGTGTGTTTGCAGGATAGGGCAATGATTTACTCAGACAATGCATTTTTATAAATGACATTTGATGGTGTAAGCACAAAGCTGTGGTAAGCCCTCAAACTGAGAATTGGCGAAGCCCATTTTAAGGATAATTTGAAGAAAAGATGAGGTTTTCCTCTGGGCCTCTCTACCAATGAGCGCCAAGGGCAGGCAGCAGAACACTGAGCTGCTGAATAAGGGATTAGCAGGACTTGGTCTTTATTAAGAGCGAACCAGGCTCAGGGATTGGGAGGAGGAGGAGAAAGAGCCATATATGTCTGAGCCCAGGGCCCAAGGCTCAGATCCTCACAAAAGAAGGTGCTCTTCAGGTGTGCTAGATGGCGAGATAACTTACATATTTTGTTTTTGTTTGGAGTTCGTGTTACATTGCAAGACTGGATGGTGGCTGTAAGGGATGAGGGGGCCACATAGCAGAGTGCCTGGGGTATGCTGGGTTTTAAAGGGGCCAAGGGAGTGATCTGGGCTATACCCAAGGAGGCTGAGGTTGGGGTATGGGTGCAGCAGGGTGGGGCCAGAGATCCAGCACAGGGAGAGAGAGTGATGGAGGCCAGAGATGCCTGCCATTCCCTTGAGACTTGGGCCAGGGGAGCTGAGAGAGCAAGAGAGAGACCTGCTATACTTAGAGCATGATGACTGGAAGCCTAATGATGAGCAGGGTGGGTCAAGGCACCAAAAACCAAACTCTGGATATCTGAAGGCAGCCTCTCAAATTTATTAACTTTTGACATCAAGGCACAGTAGGCGAGAGTAGAGGAGGCCAATAAGGGGAACTGGAGTAGGAGAACAGGCATAGGGTGCCCTTTAGACAGCACTACAGTTGTCCCTGGAGGGGAGCCTGTTGCAGTGTGGAGGACCTATATTGAAGTGAGTCAGTCTAACGACCCCCCCACAAAGGGGACAAACCCTACCATAAAATCATCAGAGTCCATGACTTCCTCTTTCTTAAAGGCATCCTTACATGTGCTCCAGGGTTGGGGTGGGGGGAGGCTCTTTAATTACAGAGACTCATGGAAGCGGCTCTAATTAAAAGCACCTGCAGTGTCATGTGTATTCAATGTCCTGCACTTCAAAAGGCGGTAGGGGCTACATGTGCACTACACTGACTGGCACGCGGGGGCATTTAAATAAAGCTCATTTGATGAGCTTTAGTTAAAGCACCACCCTTCACCTTTTTGAAGTATCGGGATGACGAATACACATGACACTGAAGCTGCTGGGCTGTGCTAGTTAGTGTGTGATTAATTGAGTCTGCTCCAACACATGCTAATTAGCATGCACTGGAGCGGGTGTCAGGCATGTGTATAGGTGCCCTATATTCCCACTGCATATAATACAAAATAGAAAAAACAACACTTTCCAGTATATATAATAGCGCCTTTTAGTAGACAAAACTGTAATTATATAATGATCTACAGCAGTCCACAGAGATTGGTGGGGCAACAGTGAGACTATAGTTGGATGACATACTATTTTCCTGAGTTTAAAAGTACGTTTTTCTCTTCCCTATGATGCCAAAACTTTTTCCCCCTATTTTATAGCAATTTTATGCAGTACTGGTCTGGGTGAAAAAAAAAGTTCCAACCTCAACCATTAGGTGCATACCAGAATGAAAAATCTGATTACAGGGGAATAATACTGAAGTCTACTTGGACTTCAAGGCCTTTGACACTGTTTCTTACCCCATGCTCATAAAAAACTAGGCGACTGCAGCATTGATGCCTACACGGTCAGATGGGTGGCAAATTGGCTCGATGGTCGTACCCAGAGAGTGGTGGTGGACGGGTCAAGGACTAACTGCCACAAATTGATTGAGAGCAGGTTCAGGCTTGATATCAGGAGGCACTACTTTATGGTTTGGGCTGCCAGGCTCTGGAATGGGCTCCCAAGGGAGGTTGTGCTCTCTCCTACCTTGGGGGTCTTCAAGAGGAGGTTGGATAGATATCTGGCTAGAGTATCATGATCCCAGTACTCATTCCTGCCTAGGACAGGGGGGTTGGACTTGATGATCTGTTCAGGTCCCTTCCAAACCCTAGAAACTATTAAAATATTGGGATTATGAGGCTAGATGGTTAACTGAAACCTTTATGGTGCATTAAGAATCTAGCTCTTTGATGTAGCAACAATCAACATATTTATAGTTAAATATAAATTGCTAAAAACTTACTTCAAGTAACTCATCTGCAATCTGCAACCTGCCATCTTTTCCAGCTGCTCCATTTGGATCAATTCCCACTACAAAGACACTCATCCTAGATCGGTCTTTGTTGCCAGCAAGACTAAGTCCCAAGCCAGCTTTTCCTTTTTCCAGCTCTATCATATGAAGGTCTCCTGGCAGATTTCCATAACGTTGTGTTATCTTTCCTAAATGTAAATAGGAGAAAACTTGAGTGTGGTAGGAATTGAATTCCTATTACAAACTTTAACAAGCTGAGCAGCTGATTAACTTATGCATCTAATACATGCAACTGCAGAATCCCAAAATAACTGAAGTAATTCAAAGAGTGTAACTTACTCCTTTCCTGCTAAAACTAATGTTGTTTGTCAAAATGTTGTCAAAATGTTTCCAAAACTTCTCTCTTGGTTTCTCCCCATACCAAAAAATTAAATCTCTTCCACTTTTTTTTTTAATTTTGCAAAGCAATAATCCCCCTCCATTAACTACAGGTGAGACTGACTTCAGAAAGCAGGCACTGTCAATGCCACTGCCACGAGTCAGGTACACTGTACTGAAATTCCTACTATTCCATTATGTGATGGGTAGAACCTGCACATACCAGGACCAATGTTGAAATGGAGTGCATAAAAAAGAGCAAACAATCTGGTGTTTCAAGAATGTGCGTGTGTTTATCCAAACACAACTGAAAGCTGCTGATAACAATTTATACCCAGACTACTCAGCAGATAAAAAAGAAGACATACACTTTAGCACATGTTCTCCTCCTGTTTCAGCCCTGAGCTTTTCAAAATGTTATCTTCATAAAAGATAAACTTACTCCAGCTGTAACCAAACTCATCCTCCTTATCTGTATCGTCTGGGACTTTGCTGGAAGATAACTGTGCAATATCATAGCTCATTCCTGAAAAGGCTGAAGGAGGTGGCAAAGGCAAATTACAAAATGAAGTCTTTTCTGGTTCTGATTCTGACTGACTGGATGCCTGTGGAGGACAAGAAAAATGTCATGGCTAAGCATATGCAGCCTCTTGTGCAGGCCAATCTAGTATGTGGAAATGTCAAAATGGCAATGACTATGACTTTGAAATTTAAATACCAAGCAACAGGAATTCTTAATGAGAAACAGCACAGAAAAGCTGTAGGAGATAAAAGAATGCTAAGCAAGGTATAGTAAGGCTCAATGCATTTTTAACAAACAGAACTGACATTAAAAGCCCAATTCAGTGAATGTGTTGCTTCATATCTTAGAGCAAGCCTTATGTGAATGAAGGCTGAAATGATTTTTCAATATCAAATCTGCACAAGCTTGTTTTCTTATGTTTTAAAAAAAGTTCAGTAAATATATTTCCTGTGAAGAAAGATAAAGGAAGGAGTTAGGATGGTACTAAGGAATCTTTCAAAAGGGAGGATATTTAATTGAAATATTGATTGAAAGAACAATTTCAAGAACATTTTACTGTAAGGAAATCCATTTTTTGTAAGATTTCCATTTCCAAGATCCTGTTTAGAGGCTTCCTATATAGCTTACCACTAAATGCAAAAATGAGAAAGATTTGACCACAAAAGAAGAAAAACTCCTCTTGGGCCTCGTCTGCCTGATGTATTTGTACTGACAAAGAAAAATGAAATGTATGTGCATAAAAATTAGCACTACAAAAGAATGGTCAAATTTTCAAATCCTTATTCTACAGGGGAAAAAACTTGTTAAAATCAGTTTGCCCAAAGATTATGTGATCATGGAGTGTATGTTTTGGTGCAATCTACTTTGTAGAATTTGCTGTTTATTTAGCATATGATCAATGGTAAACACTCGGCAAGAATTCCAGTCATATGCAAGGACCTCATTTAATTAATTATGAGGCTCATATTACTCCACACAAGTTCAGTAATTGGTAAGTCAGGGTCTGAGCATTAGCACCTATAGAACTTCTTTTGAAAATCATTTCAGAATACTGCAGTTTGTAAGTACTGTACTGATAACTCCCAGCATTTTCCTTCACTACATCAGATTCAACTATCTCATTCTAGTGAAAAGGTTAAGGACAACTCTCAGATGCTATTCCTGGAAGCCAAAGCTTTTCACTCTCATCACCGCGAGAGTGTTAACTAAGGATGCTATTGAAATAAACCTTTACAGATATTAAAGATGTTAATTTATCACCTCAGTATTCCAATGAAAGTATGCTAAGAAAACCAAAAATCGTTGATTTAATCCTTCTAAAATCTGTGAAAATTTTCACCCTTCAGGAGAAACAAACTACTTTCTTTGTCTGCATACTCCCAAAATAAAAAATAAAAAGAATTATACTTCTATGACCCTTCAGATTCCTCTTCTTCAGAGTCTTCCACCTCTCAACTGGAACTTTTATTGAGAAGCTTAACTAAGGAGTTAATGAATAAGTATGAAAAAGGTTGAGTATGCTTGAAGTTAAAATCATTACAGCCTAGAAGGACAGCTGTTTAAATGCCTCAACATTCTAGGCATCATGCACCAAAGGATATACTTTGGTGTTTGCTGTAATAATGAAAATGGTTCATGGTCTTACCTAAGTCACAGCTCTGCTCCCTGGTACCTGTATCTTTGAGCAAGTTTTACACATATGAACCTGGTTTGCATAAGTGATGCTGAAAATGTATACGAAAAATCAAAGCACAAAGCATCCTACTGATATACTTTCCCTCATCCCAGTTTCCATTTAGGTTTTGATCATAGTCTTATGAGAACTGACATACTAATACTAAAATATGGGAGAATTTTCAGGAACACTGTACAAATAGTAGCGATGAGAGGGAAGCTGGTGTTTGCAGCTTGCTATTGGGATTTCCAGTAGAACACCAGTAGCATGGTTATTGGAAATAGCTTCCTTAGTACAGAATCAGAGTTCGGTGATGGTAAAAAACACCTAACATTTATGGTGCCCTTTCATACTGCAAATGAAAATACTCTGACAGAAATAAGTAGCATAATATTCCCTCAAGATGAAGGTGGAGTAATTCTAGAAATTCAGTAAGGTCTCTGAATCCTTTCTACAGGTTCATTGAAGGCCCTGTAATCTACACAAACATTTATATTTTCTAAATCAAAGTAATGCATCCTTTTACTCCTGTTCTTTGAGATAACTGTGCAAAATGTTGTGGTACACAGAAAGAAATCACAATAAAACAATAAAATCCCTTAGATTTAATCTGGAAAATCTGCTGTATCCTTATTTAATATACGAATACATTTCAATGGATTGACAAAAATAAAGCAGAAACAGCCATGTTTGATCAACAAGGTTTCATTTCACTCCCTACAAGCACATGGACAAATCTGTGTGTATGTTTGAAGTTTAAGTGAATGCTGACATGAAAGCAATATGAAAGCCCCACGTCTCTTGAGGGACCTAAGAGTAGAAGTAGTAAAGTGTTAACAATGATTAAAACACACAGGGTCAAGTTCTGTCTTTAGAAGTTAGTGGGAGTTGGGCATGCATATCCAAGGACAGAATTCGACCCTCTCATTCATGGACACACAAAACTTTTGTTCTCTGAATTGGGCCCTGGAGAGAGGACTAAAACATTTTAGTTAATGATATACTGAGATGCAAACACCTGACAGAACATAAATCCTTTTGGCCATCAGCATCACCTTGGTCAAATTCATACATATTTTAAAAGGCAGAAAACATACAGCAGCCTCATTTTCTATGTAGTGGGTACATTTGGAAGGAAAAGCAGTACATCTGAGATAATCACATGCCATGTTCAAATGTAAACACTAAGACAGCACACAAAGAATGTGCAACAACCACTAGTACTGAGACAAACCTTAAATGGTGTGGGAGCAAAGGGGTTAGTTGGGGAACAACGGAAGGTAACCCTAACTGGATTTGGTACCTCCTACAGTAATAGAAAACAGCAGTCCATATATTACAGTACTTTCACAATATGTAGCATTAGACACGAACAACTCTTTTCATGTCAAAGGGATATTTTATGCCCTGAGGCAAATTCATGTTTCATTTTAAAACGGCCAAAATTGGCCTAACATGAATCCTGTTTCAGCAAATCTGCAAATAGTTTTCCGAATCTGTTTCTTATTAATTTTCTCCATAAAAAAGCAGGAATAACAAAAGACTGTACTCTGAGAAACTGCAAAAACCTAAGTTTTGCATATAGCTATGGGTAACTTAAAAAAAAAATATAAGGGGTTACTTGGAAAATATAAGCACTTATTCATGTTTTATTGCTATTCCCTTTACCTTCCATTTACAAGTAGAGGGACAGGTTATACATAACACATACAATACATATTCCTTATATGGTTTGAGATGCGAGGCCTTAAGGAATTAATTGAAGAAACACACATATACATCTAAATTTATTCCCCAAATGCACAAGCAGCTACAAGTTACTGCATGAAATCAGAGCTGAATGGATGTGTATTAGGACAGGATTCGGCCTTTAATCAAGTCTATATTTTTCTATGTTTGCATAAGTTCCTTTAAGAATTAATCACTAAAAAGGAGAATCTAACTATTTTTAGCCACCAAGGCTATCAGTATCCTGCTAGTGATACCAAAAAATGAAGGGGGAGGAGGGGGGGAGGGGAGTTTTTGTTGTTATAAAAAAAGGATGTTGACAAGCAAAAATAAAGAAAGAAAATCCTAGCCACATAAAAAAACAAAGAGAAAGACCATCAAATAAACAACAGTTAGCAAAATATTTCCATTCATTGTGAGCTACAATAATCTTAGCTGAGATCTGCAAAGTTACCCAAAGGATTTGGAAGTAAAGCATCTCACTCTCTAGGTGGCTCTGAGTAGCTCAGCCTCCAGAGTTATGATTAATAAAGCTGACACTTGTGCCTTAGTTCAAGACATTTTTACTTAACACAAGGAATTTCCATCCACATCAGCACAATATCTTCCCCAAAATTAGTAAAAAACCCCAACCAAACAAACACAACAAAAACAAAGAGGGAGACACATGTCTGACAAACACATTAGTAAGGTTTGGTTAATTAAAAGCAGAACATCAGGGATCATCCAACCTTGTTAGTGTTGAACTGAAGAGAATCGGCAAATGGATTAGTGCTGCTGAAGGTAGGAGGCCTACAGAAAAGGTGATTCTGCTGGAAAGGCAAGGGGGGACTCTAAAAGGAAAACATAACAGGAGCTAAACATACAAGCAAAAAAAAGGTTGACTTTAAGTAATAGCTTGTGGCTTATTGAATAGACCACAAGACATCTTGTGTTGAGTAAAGAACACCCACTTCATGTGTTTTGCTACAAACATCTGTGAATGAAGGTAAGCAAAGCTGTCTTTCTCTAGCTTAGCTACGCATTAGTGATACTAAATAGCATGTAGGAAAATACTAGACTTACCCTCCCTACCATGTTATATCTGACCTATCTCACTCTCTAGGGAGATCAAGCTAGCATTCTGCTTCTCACTTTTACACATAAAGCAGATTTTAAATTCACAAACCTTAAGAGTTAGGTACCTACTGCCCATTGAAAAGCAGTGAGAATTAGGTTTCTACCTGATATTTATGTCTTTAAAAATCTCTCCATAACTTCCCTTTTGATTTAGTTGCGATTGTCCTTACACAGCAAAACTCACATTGATATAAATAGCAGGACTTCTCCTTATCCCCACTCTCAAGCCACAAATTCAAGACTGGTGCATGTAACCAATACTGTAACAATGCATATGTTCATAAGTGAGAGAAATTAAAAGTTTGCCTGAATTTTAGTATATATCTAAGTTTGCCTGAATTTTAGTACATATCATATTCCACATACCTAGAGCAGAATCTTATTATTTTGCATTAGTGAGCTGCTTAATTTTTCAGTTTGAGAAGGGAACAAATGTAAGAAAATGTGGGGAAAATTTTGTTTAAAATATAGTTTGTGCTTTTATTTTGATTCTAGTAGGCTAGTTTTATCATTTGCAGTACCTCATGCCATACTAATAAACCTGCCGTGATATGTACACTATTAAATCGACGGTGATATATTTTGCAGAAGTGAAGTTAAATTATTGGGAATGATTTAATAGTCATTTGCCAATGAGTGGGAAGGACAACAACCCTTTTTTCTAAAACTTTCTAGGTTTATGAGTTAAGAAAGTGAGAAATGGCTAACTTTTTCTTTAGCCAGTCTGAATTATTTTTCTATTATCATGATATGATTGTTTTTGCTATGGAAACTTTCCTTACACTTTGGGGGAAAATATGGGGAAGAAAAAATAAGCTTTATTTTATTCTATTGATGGTGTGCATTACCCTTGTTGTATTACACTCTCTTTTAAGATAAAAATTGTTCTCAACCAAGTATGTTCACTTGAAAGAGAGACAGCCACTCTAGTATTCAATGGCAGACAGGAAAAGGTCCCAGGTATACAAAAACTAAATTCTATAAGGGATAGAAACAATTGCTATGTTGCTCAAATACTCCTTCCCATTATGAGCTTAATGCTATTGGAAAATAAGTAGCACACTACATAGAAGGAATGTAGAACTGCCTCTAGCAATGCAAACTATGGAACTGCCACCACCCTTTTTTCATCAAGACATGCCTTGCTCTATAAAGAAAGACATTGCTTTTAGAAATACTGTAAAATCCATTCTTCAAAGCTTATATATTTAGGTACTGTTTTACCAAATAAAGCTACTGTAATCTAATTTGCCATGTTCAGCATCTCTTAGTTCCACAGTATCTAAACAGCTTGGAAGGTAATGTAAAGACATGGCTTCCACGTTGACAATGCCACTCACAAACTCAACAGGGGAAATTTTCCTTACAATACAATAAGAATTTCTATTGTAATTTCAGATCTGATCTTTTTTACTGTAGAATAAAGGAGTATTTGGGAAATTTGCTAGCAAGGTTCCTATTACATATAACCATCACATCTGTCATCTGCATAAATATTTAAACTGCATCTGAAAGAGGTACCATGGAAATAAAATTAACATAAATATTCTTTGCATCAAAAATAAAGTCCTCATATTAAAACAAAACCAATACACAGTGGTTCACATTTTTGCATTAGATATTTCTAACATAAAAGTATATTAACTTAAAAGATACCTGACATCCTGACTTATGCACCATGCAACTGCTAAAAACGTTTGTGATACATAAAATGTATGTAAATCAGGGAAGAATTTGGAGGATTACATTCCATTTCAATTTACCTGAAGAGTTTGTTCCAACAATACTTTTGTGCAAGAAACCACACACTATAGCACAAGAAAAGAAAACTGTAGCACAAAAGTGTTCTGACTCACTGCAAGCCTCTTGAAACTGACAGTCTCTCTCACTAGAAGTGCTGTGGTCCCACATTAACTATAGCTACTTTCTGCATGCAGCTAGCTGTCTGGATGACTGCACATGAATGAAGAGAGGAAATTCCCTTATAAGCTCTTGCTATAAGTACAGATGCAAGTTTCAAAAGGTTAAGAAAATAAAACTGTTTACAAAATCACACTGTAAAACGTGTACAGTGAAAAGCATTTGCAATGCCTGTGTTTACATATATACAAAAACATGGATATTTTAACAAACAGTAAATCTTAAAATATAATAGATTTGTTGAACCTTTCTTTAACACAAAAACTTAGCTGTGATAAAGTAAAGGTATCGTTCTCATATTAAGCATTCATCAAGCCCTGTCAAAATTGCCCATATCACAGCAAATGCATGAGCCTCATCTTAGCATTCTGAGTACCAATAACCAACATTCAGCAAAGCTATTCCATGCAACTTTACCTGAGATGACTGATGGTAAAATGGGTTAGTAGTTTTCTGCCCACTGTGAGCAGAGGATGATGAAGAATTATAGAGAGAGTCTGGCTGGGAAAGAAAAGTTATGAGACAACTAGTAAATAAATGTGCAGCTCACATAGCATCCTCAATGAGGAAGTTTAGTTTCAAGTGATGCAAGCTACTATATTAAAGCTCATTAGCCTGTGTTTGCAATGCCCATGCAGCTTAGTAAGGGTTTGCTGTGTACCTCTAGGTCCTTCCACTGAAGTCCACTGAAGATTATAATATGTACTGTCATGTATTTCCGCATACTGTCTCTAATTTCTCTCTCTACGGCTTGTTTTCTGTTAGGCTCCTATTCTGCCCCTTCACAAATTAACATCCTTGAGACATTTCAAAATATTGAAAGTTGGTGCTCAAGAGATAAATTCCAACTGTAAATCAATTTAATTCTAAATGGAAATAATATTTCAAATTAAACCTTAGTTCCTAAATGGCTGAGATGGAACTTGTAGGATTAAATCTTCCCCCCTCCCCAAATAATACCCCATTGGACATGTATTTAATCTACTGCTATGTATTAAGTTTCTTCCCGGGTTCTATATGCTTACCCTTGTTCTGTTTATAATGCTCTGTACCATAAAGACTACAGGGTTGCCTGCCTTCCGTATGGCTTCCACAGCTTGTTCATGGCTTGCATCTCTGAGGTCAATTCCATCCACCTGTAATTGGAAGGCCTCAACTTAACATTATACAAAGCTAAAAACATAATGATTTAACTGCCACATTTTGCTTTGAGTTTTCTGTTAAGGCCTGAGTCAAAGGCAACTATAGATAGGTCTCTACTGAGAACTTCAACTGAAGATGTATCAGGCCCTTCGGTAGCAAAAACATACCAGGGTGAGATTTCCAAAGAAATCAAAAGGAGAAAGGCTCCCAGCTCCTACTGTACTTCTGTAGGAACTGAAGTGTCTTATGCTGTTTTGGGATCCCAGCCACATATTTCAGGATTTCAATATTTTTAAAACTGGTTATTCACCTACTTGATTCAAGTTCCATTTGGACATTTTTCCTACAGACCTAGCTTACAGGATATGGAATAATATGAAGACAGTCACACTGATGGCCAAGCATCACTTCAGCTAATTTAGGATTCAGACTCAGGGACATATTCACCTACCCACAATGGCAGTTGTGAGATTTAATTAACTGATCTTCATAAAGCATGTGAAAATCCTTGGTTGAGGAGTACTGAATAAGTACAAAAATACTGTATTTTTAATAATGGCAGGCATTTTTCCCAATTTCATATCCTTCCCAGAAACTACATTTGAAAAGCATTCTACCTAAAAAACAGTATTTAAAAATTCTACAGCTTTCTAAAAAAACAGTATTTTAAAAGGATAACTAAGAACAGCTCTTTGCTTACATGAAACATTTAGCCATAAAATAATATGTACTGATGTGTAAAAAAAATTTCTCTCAGTCATTCAACATCCATGCTATGGTGAGGTTAGAGTTAGAAAAGCATAAAGACAATGATAGTAGCTATAAGCCAACATACAAGGGTTTTTAGTGATAATTTTTGCACATAAGGCCATCTAGTAAGGGTTTTGTTTCCCCAGTTTATCTGAAACATAATAATCCAGTGTAAAATAAAGAAAAGAGAAGGAAAACAATTTAAAGCAGCACATTCTATCCCTATTAGGAATTTATGTTACATCTCTGTAAACTTCAGGTAACTGAAGTGGTGGTATGTGCTGACTAAAAAGAGCAGAGCCACAATATGTCACATGACAAACAGAAACTACACATATACTTACATGCATACATCGTGTATCTGTGGCCTTTTGATTAGCATGAAGCTCCATCCCACAACCACACCTGTAAGCTTCATTTTTGGGACAGTCTGCATACTCATTAAAAGCTTATGCTTTAGTTATATGGACCTTTAATTATCTTTGTAATCAAAGTAAAAGACATTTAATGCTTGTTCAATCAATGTTTTCATGTGAGAGATGAACTAAAATACTTAAGCCAACTCCAAGCATTTCTGAATACAGGACTATTTATGGGACCATGTAGAGCTCCACATTTCTTATTTAGACAGTAAGTTACTTGAGCACCTTGATGGATAACAATATCCTTGTGTTACATAAGTATTTATTTATACAGGATACTATAAATGCACCTAATGCAGTACAAATTGTGCCTCAAACCTGTTAATCAACTGAAGTTATGTGGTCCCCTGCCTATGCCTACTTATTGTAAAAGATGCAGCCTATTCTCATCTCCTACATCTAGATTCTGTACGTTGTCCTAGGTGGTAGTCACAGCCCTGTAATGAAATGCTACCTCAGGTGTTACTCACCTACCTGGACCACCTCTCGAAGCAGAAGAAACAGAGTTTCATCTGGCCTAGTCACCCTGGGCTTACTGAATGGCAATTAGGGACCAGGGAATAATAACTGATACACCATAATTACTTGAATCCAAGATAAGGTTTGCCCCCCCATTCAACATGGGGAAAAAAAGGCCCTCATCTTGGATTCAAGTAAAAGATGGGGACAGGCAGTGGCAGGACTACAGTCATTATATAGTAATTATATTTTGTATGGAAAAAGAAAAACATTCACGCAATATCAGTCAAAGAAAACCTGGGAAGGTGCAGTAATCACATGGTATTTGCATTTCAGAATTGTTTTATCCATTCAGAGATATTTAAATGGTAACAAGGTGATATATACAAGTAAGTATTGCCCTACGTGGCTGTGCATTTCTTACACAAAATGGAGTTTGTACGGTACCTCCACTATTCTATCTCCAGTTTTCAAGGTTCCATTTTTGCCAGCAGGACTGTCTTCAAGAATGTGTTTGATAAAGATTCCCCTCATAACTTCACCATTGCTCAAGCGGCTCCCCATCCCTCGGCCACCAACAATGCTGATACCCAATGACTTGCTAGGTTCTCTCCAAAGCTCAACCCTATAATGATGAAAAGCAGACAGAAATATATTAGATCTACATGTACTCTCTTCTGTACTTCTCTTACTCTCGTCTGTAATTTACAAAGGCCTATTTGCATGATTTCTTGCAACAGGCTGAAGGATAAATTATCCATAGCCTTTTCACTTTGTAGCATACAACCTCTTTTTTTTAAATCCTTCTCCATATTTGGGATTTCTAGTTAAGCCTCTTGAATCCTTCTCCTCATCTACTATGTGAGCTATCAGCAGCATAACACATTCTTATACTTGGAAGGGTTTCTCCCAACGAGTTGATACCAACCTACTAATCATTTCTGTGAGGAATTAATTTTGAGATTCCCCTGGCTTAAGTAAATTACTGTAAATTAAAATTTTAAACTAATCTGCCCAAGCAATCAGCATCTAAATTGGATCACAGGGATTTAGAATGATTGTGACAAAAACAAATAGGCACTATTTGTACAATGCTGTTACTTTGTCTGTTACTTTGCACATACTTCAAATGTTACGCTTAATGGATCCACAAGTATTATTTTTTCAATTCAAATTCTGTTTCTGAGAATGTCATTTGATTCCAAATCCATACCTACCGTCTGGGCTGGTTCCAATTACTATAAGCTGCATTCTGAAGTTCACTTTCCTCTCCCTCCCCTTCTTCTCGTTCTGGAAGTTCTGGAAGATCTCTGCTAATAAATGAGAACATGCAGACTACTTTCAAAGTTCTAACCAAGACACCGGTGTTCACTGTCAAACTTCACTGATCAGCTCCAACTGCCAGAATTAGCATTTCTTAAGTGCATGGAGGTAGCCATGATTTTTACATAGAGATATGAATAAAAATACTAAAGGATGTAGCATATTTGTCTGTTTGCAAAAGATATGAACACATTGCTGAAATGCAGATCTTTCCCAGTAGAATTAAAATCAATTTTAAAATACAAATAATTTTCTACTTCTGATTGTTAGTGCTTGTTTAGCCAAAGCTTGCTGTGCAAGTGCTTCTTTCTTGTTAGAAAGATTTAAAACTTCTCTGGTACAGCTGTGAACTATTTAGAGTCACCAGCCATTCAGTGGACTTCCTTATAGGAAGTCTGTTATAATACATGCTGTATTTCAGAATTCCCTTCCACAACAACCACAGAAAAAAATATTCTACACTTCTGAATTTGAGTTGAATTAAATTTTAGGATAAGCAATATTTTGTTTCCAGTGGGGAAAAAATGTCTAGTGATTTAAAGTAACTGTTGTGCAATCTCTTTTTCTCTGATAAATATAGGTCTCTCTAAGCCATCTTCAGCTATACTCTCAAGAAATGAGGCATTCAAAATTGCCAGACACTTTTGAAAATCTCAGCCAACATTTTACTAGGATTTTAAAGCCTATAAGAGAACAAAGAGAACTGTTCATTCTCCAGTTGTAAAATCCCATGTAATTTTTCCAATGTATTTTCTGGATGAAATAGAAATGTCATAATTTACATTTTGGAACAGTACAGGTAATAATAAACAACACTGGAACTTCTATCTGAAATATCCCAAATAACTGTTTGATTTGACTGAATCTGTCATAAAAGTTTTATACAGTAAAAGCTCTATTATCTGGCATCTCCTGGGAATGGGGGATGCCGGATAACAAAATATGCCAGTTAAGTGAGTGGCCCGAACAGATATCCTTGCCTGTTCAGGCCACCACTTCTCCCACTGCATCCAAGGCGTCACCGCCCCTCCTGCAGGCTCTTCAGGACAGGGAGGCGGGCCCCACGCAGCCTGTTATGTCCCCAGGCCATGGATAACAGAGCATGCCGGCTTTTAAGGTGCCGGTTACCAGAGATTTTACTGTATCTGCTTTCTTTTAATTATAATACGTCAGTAAATTTTCCCCAATATTTTAGTATTTCCTCAGTGCTTTTTCTAAAAGGCCCACTTAATTAATGAAGAGTATTCACAAACTGTATTCACATATAGTCTCTCTTTGCATTGTGACTGAAGGGTTAAGCCTCTCAGGTAGTGTGGAGGCCAATCAGCACACCAATAGACACTAGGGCTGTGCAAAACAGCACTGTTTCATTTCAACTTCTGTTTCACCATTTCAAAGGAACAGCGTTTCATTTTGTCATTTTGTCTCATTTCAAAGCACTGTTCCATTTTGTTTTGTTGAAACAGTTCCGCTGTTTCGCCCATAGGCTATAATGGGGAATCATGAAAATGCCTACAACTTTGTCATTTCTTGCCTGATTCAGATGAAAATAGCAGGGGTGGTAGCCCCATCTGAGGGCATGAAGCCTGTCATGTTTCAAGGAGATAGTTGCAGGGGTTACTGGGAAACTGCACCTCAAACTGCTAAAAGCAAAACTCATGTCACTTGTCAGCAGCAGCAGCCTCCTGTCATCCTGTGCACAGTTCTGAGGGTCCGCACCCCAGGGAGGGCTGCGGGGCTGTGCTGGACTCCTCCTGGGGGTGTGGACCCCCAGATCTGTGCGCGGGATGACAGGAGGCTGCCGCTGCCGCCTGGGACTGGCACTGGGTGCAGCCCGTGCCTAGCACTGGGAAGACTGCTGCTGGCCCCAGGCAGCAGCAGCAGCCTCCTGTCATCCCACATGTAGATCTGGGGCCTGCGCCCCTGGGAGGAATCCGGCAGTGCTGGGAGGGCAGGTTGAGCTCTGTGAGGCTGGCGGAGCCGCTCAGAGTACAGCCCTGGCTCTCCCTGCCTCCTGCCACTGGGCTGCACTCTAACCAGCTCTGCGAGCCCCATGGAGCTCAACTTGGCAGTGGGAAGTGGCCGGAGAGCCAGTGGCAGAGCCACTTGGAGCGCAGCCCTGGTGAGCACAGCCCAGCAGTGGGAGGCTCTGCAGCCCCACGGAGCTGAGCCTAGCAGAGGAAGGCAGGGTAGAGCCACTGCCCAAGGCCATGCTCAGAGCCAGGGCTGTGTTCGGAGCAGCTCCGCCAGCTCAGCTCTGTGGGGCTGCGGAGCCTCCAGCAGCCAGGCTGTGCTCATCAGGGCTGTGCTCCAAGCGGCTCCGACAGCTTCATGGAGCTCAGCCCTGTGGTGGGAAGTGGGGGAGAAAAAGGTCTGCACTCGCAGCTCCGCCAGCCCCATGGAGATTAGCCCGGCAGTGGGAGGCGGCAGGAGAGCCACTGTTGGAGCAGCTCGGAACGCAGTCCTGGCTCTGGACACAGCCCTGGCCAGTGGCTCTCCCTCACCTCCTGCTGCCAGGCTCAGATCCGTGGGGCTGGTGGAGTCGCTTGGACTGCAGCTAAGTGGTGGGAGGCAAGGGAGAGCAAGGGCTGTGCTCTGAGCGGCTTTGCCAGCCCCATGGAGCTCAGCCTGATGTGTGGAAGAACCAGTGGCAGAGCGGCTCAGAGTTCAGCCCTGGCAAGCTCAGCCTGGCAGTGGGAGGCTCTGCAGCTCCACGGAGCTGAGCCAGCTGGTGGGAGGCAGGGAGAGTCACTGGCCAGAGCTGTGGTCAGAGCCAGGATTGCACTCAGAGCGAATCCTCCACCTGCTCTCCCACCACCAGGCTGAGCTCCAGAATTATTCCCCCCTCCCCTCTCCCTTACATAGACACCTCAGCATTAGCTAGCAGACCACATGCTGGCTACAGTCCTGCTTTGGGAGACAACAGGCAGACAGACTTTTTGGATCTAATCAACAGGCAGCTTAATGACCTTCCTTGGAAGAGCTGTTTAAGAAGAGCTCCATTAGTTAATGGAGAGAGGCTTTGTTTTCTTAATGGGTTAATAAACTATGAGTTAGGGGTGATAAACATTCCCTGCTGGACTGCTTAGGAGGGGGGGAAATAATCAGAGTATCCTGCCCAGGCCTAGCCACGCCCCCCTCAGCTCACCTCACCTCTGTGCAAGGGAAGGGAAGGTTGCTCTAGCGCCCCCCCCACCCCACCTGCACTCCTGCTTCTAACCTGAGCCACTACAGGCATGTGCCTGCATTTCTGAGATGTCTGTCTGGTTACAAAACTGATTTAGCCTGGCCAAGTTAGACTAACCTGCAAAGATTGAATCAATTCAGGTTCAGGTTTTTTGAATGACTGTCTCTAACCCTGCTGTTGTTTTAGTCTGCTCCTGCTCAGCTGTCCCCACTGTTTTTGATTCCCATGATCCTGATCTTTGGCACTCTCCTAACCTCTCACTTCCTTTCTGCCTTGGACCTTCTAGTTCCTGACCTGTGTTTCAGTTCCCGATTCTGGTCTCTGGAACCTCCCCTGATTCTGATGTTGGCTCTACCCACTCTATCATATTGCTGCCTCTCTGTCTTAGAAATGCCATCAACTGGCAAGCTTTTCGAGTGCAAGAAAGAGACTGATTTATTTAGAATAGGATTTAAAATTTAAAACCTCCCTTTTACAAATATCTATAAGTATACATGTCTTACAAAACTGTCATGGCAACTCGCTACTGAAGGTACAAATTTTATTAGCCAGCCTTGTAGCTTGATAACTGATTGACAGTTTACAAAAAAATCACATTTTTCCTTCTTACAGAAAAATGAAATCATGAGGAGAATTTTGCAAGGCTACACATATGGGAAGAAGTAAAGCAAAGCAGATGAGTCACCTGACAGTATGTGAAGAGAAGAGGTCAAAAGGCATAGTTCCCTCTGGCTGTTCTCCCAAACTAGCTCTGTACTCTTCCAACTGTTCTGCTGGCACATAGGTAATACTGCAATAAAATAAACACATAAATGTAAAACAAATCATGGATCGTACTTGGTGGTTCTGAAGAGGAAGGATTAGCCATCTGAGATTACTTAACATGCCAACTGACATAAGGGCCAAAATGCTATTGCTGGGAGCCAAGGCACAGGGAACTCCACATATCCCTAACGAATTAGTCACTTTACTATGCACCTATAGTCAAAATGATAAATTGTACAGGCATCCACTAGTGCTAACTGCACCACTTATGAACTCAGGAAGCAGTTACAGTTTATTTTGTGGCAATGACTGTCATGCTGAATAACCTATTTGCAACAAAAAAAAAATAAGTATAAGCAAACAGAAGAATCTGTTTGGTACTTCTGTCCAAAGTGCTACATGGAAATGGTTCTAGAAGTTCATTTGCATAAGTGTTATGGTAGCCTTTGTGGCTTCTATCAAGGCTTTGATTTTTGTTGTTGTTGTTGTAGTTGTATGAAAAACACAAAATAGACAAGGAGGAGAAGGTAGGTACAACGACAAATAGGAAGGTGATGTAGAAAAATTAGAAAGAGCACTTTCAACAGATCATCCGCAGCACTTTCAACAGTGCAACTCCGCAGCACTTTATCATCAAATCAGGAGTGATGAGGGGAAATACAGGTAAAAGATATAGCCTCCCTATTTTAAAGTCAGTGCTAACAAAAATAGTACCTTCATGACAAGAAGCCTCCAAACATTAGGGCTTTAACTGAACAACAGAATGAATAATTACAGGACTGCCAAGACTGCAAACAGGCAGGGTGGTCATACTTAAGGAAAACATGGGACATATCCTACCAATCATCTTTTTAAGTAACCTTGTTTTATCCCTCTAATGGAGCAGAAGGAGAAAAGGTCAGAAATATTACCCCCAGTCAACAGGTTGATGAGGTTTGGGGTTTTGATTAATCAACATCAGTTCAGCCTGGGTCTGTACCTTGCCCCATCCTGGAGAAATGGAATTCCTGTTCTCTCCCCCCTCATCTGGCATAAAATGTAAGGAATGTTGTTTCCCTGAAGAATGAACAGGGAAAAAAGCCCAAAAAATCCACTGTGGGGCCAGCCCTAAAGATTCTTTCCATTATAAAAGGCCTAAAAATATCATCCATTTTAAACAAAAGGGGCCATTCATCTAGTTACTTCCACCTGTCTCTCTGATTATTCACATTTCACATTACTACAAATGCAGAAATAAGCAGAAATTTTACAAATGTGTCTGCAATAAAGTATTTGGGATTATGAGGTGAGTATCTGCTGGTCAGAGCACTCAAAGCATCTCTGTTGTACTGATGGAACCTTAAAATGTGCTCCCCAGTCATTACTGTCACTTCCTAAGTTTTAACATGACTAGCATTTAGCTTCTTTCTCCCTTTGGCTTATATCACAGTGCCCAGATTAAATTTAGATTACAGAACTAGCTGTAGTGGAAAATCCAAAATTTCAAGGTGTAAGGCTCTGCTTTAGGCTGCTCACATCCTAGTCTGAAAGCTATATCTGGCCCATGGAACAAAATCATCCAGCCCATGAGGATCCCCAAGTGTCTGGATATTTGGCAGCAGGGGAATGGTGGAAACTCCACCCAGGCCATTGGCATGCAATGGGATTGGGGCCAGGCTGCTTCCCACAGCCCTACCCCCTTCCCTGGAGCATCCAGATTGGGGCTGCTCCACTTAACCCTCACCCACTCTCCCCATATGTCCAGATCCATGCCAAGCTGTTCCCCACTCTCTCCCCTTCCCCGCATATCTTATGCTACCCGGGACATTCTGATCAGAGCCAGCCGTGCACCCTCCCAAGGTCAGATGGGGCCCTGCTATGCCGGCCCTGTGTGCCAGATTGAGCCCACTGGCCAAATCTAGTCTGCAGATAGTCTGCCCACCAACCTGTGAAGCAAATTGTTTGGTCACCACTGGTATACAGTATAAGGCCAGATAACTCCATATTTATCTTTGGAATACTTAGTTTTACTAAATGGCCATCTTCTTTGTCAAACTATCTCATGGCTGTTCTCCTTGCGACAGAGAAGAAGCCAAGTTCGATGAAGGAGTAATTCCATTAACTGCAGTGGATTCATGCCTGCCAAGAACGGACCCTATAAATTCGAGCTCTCACAGACATCTTTTTAAGCTGAACTTGAACATGGAGTGTAGAATGTCCTCATCAGTAAGGCCTGCAAGTACTCAGCACCCCTAGGAATTGCTCAGGATTTTGTATGGTCCAGTGTTCAGTGACCAAGAGCCTGGGACAGTGAGGATTCTCAGGGATGAGGGCCACTGGAACTATACTGTTCTTAGTGCTTTGGGGGAGAAGTAAAGATAACACTGTTTTACTCCAGCACTTAAAAGACTCATCCATCAGAGGGACTGACATCTACTTTGAAACTTACTCCTAGAAGTGATGTGAAAGGAAAATGGAGAAGTGAAAAACTGCTGGGAGGATAGACAGAAAAGCATAGAACACATTGTGAAATGTGTAAATGGCTGTTAGAAGTAAACAGTGTATTACAATCCTTGGCTGTAAGAGAGGTTAACATATTAGTAATTTCAAGAGAAGGCAGATGTAGTTTTTAATAACTTCCTCTCTTTTGTAACTGCTCAGCTTTAAAATGAAAATGTTGCTGTTTCCAGTTTGATGAGCTGTAGAAAAAAAACATTGTAAGACATGCTTTGCAAAGGGAGCAGCGACAATGGAAACACCGAATGGTGTAGATATGAAAACATTTCATAAACACAAGACTGCATGCAGTTCAAAAAGAACATTTATGGCATGCTTGATCAAACAGCCACACAAAAACCTTTCAACACTAACAGAGGAAACAAACTGAGTGGTGATGTATATAACACATTTGGACAAATTACTACTTTATGACTAATCCAAACCTGTTGGTTATCTATGGAGAAAATAAAACATTAGTGCCACAGAAAATATGACACTGAGATTAATCCAGATATCAGTACATCTACATCCATATTAATTCCAGTGTTTAGCCCCTAACATCCAAGCTCTTTGGTCACTTTCTCAGAGGACAGTATGATTAAAATAAAAATCAGCAGCAAATTTTCAGAATACAAGTGTTTTTTAATACAGTCTCAGGAAGTTTGTTCCAAACTGCATGCTTAAACGTGATTATTTATTTATTTATTTATTTATATTTATATTTACTGTACCTATATCTGGATATATCCCTGGCATTTTGGATGTTATAAAAGCATGAAATGATTTCACAGACAAGTTGCAACATAGAGTCATAATGAGCTTTTGAATCACCAATACTCACACATAAAAGGGGGCCTGATCATCAGCAGGTGCTGGAGAAGATCTAGAATGTGAAGCATACGATGCAGCATCTTTTACAATGGTGTTAACAAATGTCAGTCTCATGCTGAATGTGCGATGCATACATATGCAGTTAAAAGTGTGAGCTTCTATTTTCTTTTTTCCCCTTTTCTTTTTTTTCCTTTACCCCTTCCACCTCCATTCCATCTACACCTCCCCCGAAAAGCATCTGCTCTTTATTGATGTCTATAGCGATGATTATTAACAAGCATGGAAAAATGGAACTGCAATCAATCTTTTATTCCTTGATCAGGAATTCATCCCCATACTTTAGGTTAAGGCAGGTGAATTTTGATTCAGCTCAGTAATTATCTGGCAGATGTTACAAGCAGCTGCTGCTGAGCACAAAATCCTGGCTATTATTACAGAAATGTAAGCGCTCCTGGCAAGGTGGAGTGAGAAGTAAAGCAGAATGCATTCTGGGGAGGCCACACATCTGGTTTTTCATAAAGAAATTATGAAACCTGGAACTCAGACTGACTGTTCTTGAACTCCCAAAACTCAAATATCTTTGTATAAAATAAAATAAAGTTGCAGTTTGCAATATGCAGCAAGTACAAAGTTTTGACTATCTCTTGGCAACTCATGTTTCTTGAAAAATATGTTCTTTGTAACTGAAAGAATTTTTTTTTAAATTCTTCTCCCATACCCACATACAAAGGCCACTACGATTCCTGTAAGAGTCCCAGTGGCCTCTCACTTGTGGAACTTATAATGTAGACCCAAGCCCATGAAACTACATATTAAACATGGTGGTCATATCAGTGCCTGCCCCCCAAATAAGATGATTCCTAAGAGACTCTTAACCCTTGCTACCCTGAATGATTGGGCATAGAACCAGTAGAGTCTCCTGCATGGGAGTACTAGGCACTATCACTAGGTCATCAAACTAATACAGTCTAGACTCAAGAAACTTGTTGAACACTATAGTTCTCTTACTGAGCCTGAACATTTCCTTAAAAATGCCCAGGTCTGGTTTTATGATACAATATTTCTCTGGCATTTTACAATGAAAAAGAAGAGAGAAGTGGTGCTGCATTGACCAAAGAGCCAAATGGTTCAACCCTTACTCTTACAAGCCTCCTATGCACATTATTGCAGGATCTTGGCCTTTCATGGGGCTATTTCTTTGCAGCAGCAAGAGAAGGCTTCATTTTGAACCTATATCATGTATGGCACTTGTAAGGCTGTAAAATGGCAACTGCTCTTATTTCTGAGATTTTCTGATTATTGCAATGTTCCAGTGCAATGCTTACAGTGGGATCAGATTCTGATATCAGAGATATATCCAAAAATAAAACCACACCCATCCCTTCCAGTATAAACTCATATATTATAAAACATATCAGTAATAAAAAACAAGCATAAATACTAAACAAAAATAATCTGTTTCATTATTTGACTGAGGTATTATTAAAAATTATTCAAATTTTATATATAAAGTTTTGTATATGTTCATATTATACAAATGCACACAATTCAGTTCAATACTGGCAGCAGAAATCATTTGAAAACTGAAAGCTCAGGTATATACTGATTCACTGGTACTTGTGATTGGTAGTTACAGTTCTGTCATTGTTTATACAATTAATACATGCTATCCTATAAACAAAATCAGCTTAAATTATCTTCTAGCTATTAGCTGAAGGATCAAATCTACTAGTCTAGAGGTGCTCAACACTTAGCCTGTGGGCCAAATCTGGCCCACGGAGCCATGACATCTTGCCTGCAGGACTTCCCATGGATCAGGAAAGATTGGTGTCGGGGAGAGGGGGGACAGTGGCAATTAATACTACCATACCTCTCCCACTGCTTAATTCCCAAGCCCCATGCAGCTAGATTGGGGCCAGGGCAAACCCCTTCCCTCCCGTGGGTGGACTGGGGCCAGGCCATGCCCCCAGCCTCCCTCCTTCCCTAC